TCCTTCATTTGCTGCTGCCGCCTTGACCACATCTTCAGAGATGGGTAGACTCTTTCCAAAGTGTTCGCAGAGCTGCCGCATGATCTGAGATCCATATCCTTCATTTGCTGCTGCCGCCTTGACCACATTTTCAGAGATAGGTAGGCTCTCTCCACAGTGTTCGCAGAGCTGCCGCATGATCTGAGATCCATCTAATCCTTCATTTGCTGCTGCCGCCTTGACCACATCTTCAGAGATAGGTAGACTCTTTCCAAAGTGTTCGCAGAGCTGCCGTATAATCTGAGATCCACTTGATCCTTCATTTACTGCTGCCGCCTTGACCACATCTTCAGAGATGGGTAGGCTTTCTCCACAGTGTTGCAGAAGATATCCTATTTGGCCTTCAGGGTCTTTTTTCTCCAGTATCTGTATTAGAATATCCCCAATGATAAGTGATATGCTATGCAGTCTTTTCACTTTTTCAGAAACCTTCTCTTGATAGTATGGTGCCACAGAGATGAGCTCTCTTTGATATCTGAGTCCACTGTTGCTTTCCTTATCAGCTAAGGATATTGTCCATGTCATATAAATGTCATTGATGCGTTCCTGCATAGGAAAACTATGTTGAGCAGGAACCATATCAGGGGTTTTTATATTTCCCCCTAGCTGAAGTTTTAACGTGCTCACAATAACAGTGAAATGATCGTTGCAAAGCTCAATAATAATAGGGCTTGGAGCTCCCTGTAAAAGACAGATAATATTACCTTTCTGAATTGATTCTGCGGAAGCTTGCAGTGTCCACTGAGTGCCCCACATATCTTTGTAACCTAGTAAATGAGCAGTATTATTATAGTTTACATTGATCTGTTGATAGCCATACTTAGAAGTACTCTCTTCAACAGAATCAACATAACCTAGTATCCATCCCCTCCCTTTAATTACAGCGACTGGTACCTCAAGCCATGTCTCCACAGAGCATGCACCTGGAAATACATGCATAGCGACTTTCTTAAAGACGTCATTCCATTGAAGACAATAGTTTGGTTTCAAATCGGTTTTATCAGCATCTTCAACACTTAAGCCTAGCAATGCGTAAACTTTATCATGCAGTATAGTGGCATGATGATTGTGGTACATATCCAGCAATTCTCCTATAGTTAGTGTTCCACGAGAATCAATTTCATAGCTTGGTCGGAAAAGTGCACCCCTTATAAGGTGAACGACTGGACGGATATTCCTTGGTAAATTGAGGGAATACCCTAAGGTACTGAGGCCCTCACAGAAAACATGCCCGTTTATTTGCACAGAGCCACAGACCATAGAAATGCATCGTGCGACACCAACTTCCTGAAGCACCTATCACGGCTGGTTAGACTTATATATAAATATTCTGATTCCTTCTTACCCATATACGTTGGAACCATTCCCGCTGTAACAACCTCAAACAGGCATTGTTACTTGTCTTCTGGCTCTGAGCCAGTAAAGATTTATCCTGTAGACTCTGATCTTCTGCAAGGCGGTGAATTGTTTTAAGTGCTTTATCACCGTCCTCTATAGCTTCTCCCAGCCAGACAATAACGCGATCGGCTTGTGCATAGATCGCCCGCATAAGGGGGATTTGTATACTCTTCTCATCGCCGTTGTCTTGGTCGATACATATTGCATCCACCCATATCGTCCTCTCTAGCTGAGGGTCTCGGAGGTGCGATAAAGCTGTATAAAGATTCTGTGTAACAGGAAAGGCAATTCCGTTTAGAGAGATTGTACACGGTTTACTTCCGCTGCCCCATACATAAGATAACGCCTCATATAGATGCTTTCTGCCACTTCTTTCTGGTAAAATATAGTTGAAGAGCTCGCATCTTATCTGGACATCATCCCTCTCAGGCGGCAAAAGACGGACTAGACGTGTAGTATTTGGCTCGAGCCGAAGCGTTGAATAGAGGGTATGTTTTGGTTCTGGATACATGAGTTACAGTGCGGTAGATCCTTTCACTTTTTGAGGGAAAATATACAAGATCGCTTCAGGACTAAAAGAGAGAGAGATTATTGTTCTAGTGAAATTAAATATAAGTGTCCTCGCTTCTAACCATCTTAAATCCGGTTTATGGCGGGGATACCCCTCATCATTAGTACTAGTTTAAGTGGGTCCCATGCATAACGTGGCTAGGTTTAATAGGCTTAATTACAAGGATGGGTTATTTGCTCAAGCTGAACTTAGAAGGGGTTGTAAGCTTGTTATACATTAAACAACTTCACACCATCTAATAAGGCATCACAAGGAGATGATTATAGAGAACCTCTAGCGTAGATAGTTTGAGCATTTATCAACACCCGACATGATTAGGTGGTAAGGACAATACTTCAAAAATAAAATACAGGCCTTTAATCTGATATGATATACGAGATCTGGATACTTTCTTGTATTTTGCCATACATACGCGGGGGAATTATGTTCCATTATCATGTCCCAAACAGGAATAGTGTTGTTTCACACCAGGGTTGCTGAAACAATCAAAGAGTATAGGTGGTGACACCAGTATCCGGATAGACTGTATATTCGATTTCCAAATTTACTCACGTCCTGTCTCGATCAGAATGAAATTATCCATGGCTTTGAGACCCGAAGTCCATCTTGAGTTCCAACGTGTTAAGAAAATTAGAGAAGTAAGCCTAAACCATGATATTCTCAATTTTATCGAGCTAGCACACGCGTCATTCCAAAAAGGGAGGGCGTCAAATCCCCGGGGCCCCTTTGAGAGATCTCTTCTTCACTATGCGGCCATGGGGAATTGTACCGAACTTCTCCGCTTGCTACTTCAAACTGGAGCACCTATAGATGATTGTGACCAGAATAAGCGAACACCCCTCTCTTGGGCTGCAGAATACGGAGCATTGGATGCAGTAATGCTTCTAGTGGAAAGTGGAGCCAAAGTAAATTACATTGATGATACGCTCACTTCCCCCTTGGCATGGTCACTATTAGCAGGTATGGGCCAGATAGTGGAGACAAGATCCTTCCTTAGGCAAAAAGGTGCGAGACAGCGATGGATACTGAGGAGAATAATTCGTGTTTTGGTATCGTGGAAATAGTGACTAGCCACATTCCATTTATAGCTAGGATTGCGAGTGGTGGGGTTACATATGATTACCTTCTTACCACATCTTTCGTTTATGTTAGTTTTACAAGTGAAATTTGATACATAGCTGCAACTTCCTTGCAAGCTAATAAAACAGTACACGTTGCCAATCATTCTTCTTGCTGATACTATACCCTTCGTGATTAACTGCATCCATGAAGCTAGTCTTCCGACAGCCCGCATCCTTACATTTGAATAAGACACAATATGTGCATAGATAAGACCAAGTTCACTAGCTTCGATGACCCTGGATCTGCGGCTATTTGTGGAGAGGCGCGCCGGTGGGTTGAAAACATAGGTGCGTCCAAAAAAATGCTATAGCGATTCGTCGCCTGCTAGGCAAGCCGCACTGATCAGCCAGTACGAGGACACTGTAATAATCAGCAGTATGATCATTTTAAGAAAGACGCGCAGTACATTTCAGGCGGTCACCATTATCAGGGGCAAGGAGGTATGAGTTCCGGCATAGTGTCGCCTGAAAAGCCTACATCTAGTTTTCCCTATCTCGTCTGAAGTAAGTATATTTTGTTGTACACTTAAGTTTATCTAAATCTTAATGGTGCTGCTTATGAATTGTCTTTAAAGAATGCCTCCGTTATTCTTCTTAATGTAGTACATAGAACCCTCTCTGAATTATAATGTTAATGGCTCAATATCGTAGGCTAATGTCCATGCCAATTTTCTAGACATGGCTGCTGATGACAATACGCCTCCTGGGCCACATGGTTATTTCCATTTACATCTTATATTGTCAAAATCTACTTGACAAAAAAGTGATACAGTACGAAATTGGAAACAGTAGTGAAGAGAAGATCTTCCAGTCACTGTCCTTGAGACTTGCTAGAACAACAGCTTGAGCTAGATAGATCAATCGGCATCATTTTACACCTCAAGGATACTCTTGACACTGATATTGCACGTTAGCAGCAATGGCGGGATGTTCCAGGGTCGCTGTAGATAGCGTAAGTGCCGTGCATAGAGCATGAGACAATATCTTTCTCTTCTTCACGACACAATGAAAAATGCTTTTGGTTTTATTTCTTCTCCTTATTAATCGAGCTGCTAGTCCCAGCGCTTGACAATATTTGCTTCGTTGAATAGCGCTGTGCAACGCTGTTGTTCTAATACGACCATTCCTGTGATGCCCTTTGGTGAGCACCTTCCGCATGTGGTTTATGATGTTATTCATCAACATCGCCTTATGAGACTTAGTCAGGAGAACTTGCTCTTGCGGCAGCCGCTGTTTCTCTGGACCCTTGTATTGATGTTGTTCCAAATGAAATTCAATGGCCAACCGTGAACTTCTGGCTAAACCAGGGGCCTTGAGCAAGATTTGGTCAAAGAGTGGTAATAGTAAGCTATAGTATATGATAGAGGCGCAAGTATGGATGCTCATGGAGAATTCTTTAGTTCTATCTGACTTCCCTTCGTGCCGTGATCCATGAATTCCTTGGAAAAGGAGCAAAACATCGTCATCATCTTGCCTTGACTCGGCTGCCGCCGGATGGTCGACATGATTTTCTTTGGAGGTGACACTAACTACGCAGTCATCTTGAGGCTTTGGTGCGTGTAGCAGTACCAAAACCAAAGAGATACACAGGCGAGGTAGTACCAAGTCTGAACGAGGGAAGTTTTGTCTGATTGATGTCACTGCTTTGTTTGCCATGTTTGGCTGCCTGATATTGGTCAGCAAAAATAATTGCAATGCGAAAAATTCATACGCTGGTGAATTGAGGTGCCATTTGGGTGTTTACTCACATATAACTTGATCATTAGGTAATGTAAGAACAACACGTTTCTAAGGTTCAAACTAGACATCTGTTATACTTGACCTGTACCCCTATTTATGGGCGGCCTAAGAATTTTAAGTTGTGAAATCAACTTATAAACTTAGAGCTAAAGTTGCTATTTTGAAATTGCTATGCATAGTGTCAGAAAGTGGGGGTACACATTATTTTGGTCCTTGATTAAAGACTCAAGCGATTGAAGCTTGCGTCTGCATGTTGAAGGGAAAGAGTCGGTCACTCCGCAAGCACTCCCAGCCAGAAAAGGTCATCTAGCGCAATACTATCACAAAAGGATCGCCCTTGAATTACTAGCTATACTTTTAGAATCATAAGAGACGATAAGAATTCTACTTTCCACGCAGTGAGGGTCACTTTCTAAAATATTCGATGGGCATACGTAAAAGTGACATCATGATTTACCAATGGCACATAAAATGTAGTACGATTAATTTTATAAGAATTCTCATTTCAGCTTTGAAATCTCCGGTATATGTGTCATCATAACCATAATTATTATAAAGCACTCCTATGTGCTCGCTAGAGATAATTGAGAAGTTCAATGCGTTGCTTACGACCGAGGAAGCATCCCAAATCTGCAATCAGTTTCACAGTGACGGGTGGCAACATGGACGCCAGGTTATGTGGAGCGGTGTACCACGCAGATTGGTGCAAACCTGGGCAGATAAGCATGGGATGCAGACATTGACAACGGTTATGGGGCCATTGATGGTTCACAATGACTCGCATTGTTTATGGTCCCGAAAATCAAAACAAAGGTGGAGTAAGTATATGAAGGGCGCATCTGCTATGTACGCCTATCATATTGCTCAAAACAAGGAACCGGTTACTGTCCTCTCTCCGCCGCCTCCTGACCAATATAATCCATACGGCGGATCAAACTATCAAACCCTCGAGGAGCCAATTCTGAAAGGAAAACTAGGGCCTAAGGTCGCACGAATTGAAATGGTACATCCAACCATACCCAGTGCTGAAGAATTCCACTACCAGATATGGCCGAATGACGAAACATTCTCATGGTATGAGAACTTTGGACACCCTCATCCAGCTACACACTGGCGACATGTAGTAGCTAGGCAAGCATTACGATAAACCAGCTATGTCGATGTCGAACTCTTAAAATATGGTGGTGATTTCCCTTCTTAGCACGCGATTGACTTTTTATCAAGTACGACAATCCATTTCCTCACCACCAGGGTATAACGAGTTCAGGTTTCAAAAATGATCCATTTGATGACTACTCAGGTCTGGTGTGAAGATACATGTAGTTCAAAAGCTATTTGACCGAACAGAATCAGATTGTCATTATCTTTCATCCTTCAACTGGATCCTTGTTACCTACATCTCAAGGGTTCAGTGCATGTATGTTTTTTCTAGTACGTAAGGAATGGACTAACCAGTTTCATTGGATACATTGCGATCGTAGGATGGATAATTTCTGGTACCTGAGGTACTTGGCCCTGATAGCTTGGAACAAATGGATCATTCTTGAAACCTGAATATCGATTATTCGGCTACTTTATAGATCTAATTATATATATGCCAAGAAGTCTAACGAGAGATATGACTTCATAGTGATGCGGACGTTGTCTATGAATCTTATTATTCATCTGCCTTCTGCCGCACACGTATAGACACCCTAGAGACCGTATATTTGAAATCATTATTAGATTTATCTGTTTGTTGGAGTACTGTACAGTAGGGAGATCACGACAGCTGCATACTGGAGAATGGGGGCTTGGAATAGAGTCTTTGCCAGATCCCTAACGGTGAGTCTATATAACATTTTAAAGTTTGCAGAGCAGACATGTTCAAGATCATCAATGGAGGTGAGCCATATTTTAAAAATACCTACCAAGACGGGCAATATTGACTACCACGACTGAACAGGCTGCACTAAGGGTTACAATGCAAGAATGGAAGTGCATTCAACAATATGTATTTGAGATATGCAACGAGGTGATGATGAAGGTAAAGAAGGCAGAGCATAAGATGGCCCACTGGAAAGTAGCGCCTTAGGTGCGATATTGGACTACGCGGAAGCCTAGCAGGAATTCTGAAGCCGCGCGCCACCGGGGACTGCCTAACGTAATCGGTAAGCGAGCCGAACATGTAAGCGAACCCAACACCACCTGCCATATAAAAATTTAAAATGATTAAAACACCATGAATTCAGACTTCTATATAAAAATGAGTGGTTCTATCGATTCTGGCAGTGCGTAATTTTATAACCCTGTATACCACAGCCAGACATTTAGATAGAGCGCGCCTAGAAGCCGATTCAGTAGGTAGAGGTCTATCTGCCTGTATAGCTTCATCTGCCTGATTTCGGCGCTCTATAAAGATTCGGGCTTCAGATACTCGAGGAAGTTCTGTAGAAGTATCACAAAAAGTCCATTGGAGCAGCTGCACTGTACCTGGTCCTTTCATGATCCAGTATTGCCTTGTATAATCTGTTTGTACCTCGTTCAGAACACAAGTCGACAGGTTGCAGGCCTTTCCCCAGGTGCTGCATCTGCATAAGCGCTGCAACAGAAGTAAGATGGAAGTTATCCGTGTCAATCTTGATCGGAGGGGCTGTTTCGACACTTCCAGACAAAATATGCGAACATAAATGAGGTTCTTGGCATAGGGGCCGTGCTAGGCCTATGCCATCTACCTCCTGCACGGCGCGTATCATACCTTTGACAGAGCGATATCCTCCAGTTACGTAAACCTTTGTGCGCTCCATCTTCTCCGAATAGATTTTCCCGTACTCTAAGAAGAACTGCAAGCCAGTGTCACTAGGTTACCCATCGAAGTTGTCATGTTTCATCCTGTTAACTTACCCCCTCATGCTGTGGTATAGAAGCGACCTGCTTGCGACCGATTGTCCAATCCTCATAAGTGCCGCCAGACAATTCAACAAAATCGAAACGCATTTTCTCAAATTCAATGCACAGTTGAACGGTCTCTTCCAAGTTAAACGCGCTCTCCTGGAATTCAACAGCGTTAATCTTAATACCAACGATAAAGGTTTCTGCCACTCGTTCGGATATTGCCTTTCGAATCTCGGATATCAGCTTCATTCTGTTCTTTATGCTGCCCCCGTAATTATCTTGACGTTTGTTTGTTCGGGCCGACAGGAATTGGCTTAGCAGGTGCCCATGAGCTGCTTGCAACTGGATACCGTCAAACCCAGCCCTTTCAGCATATGCGGCGGCATGAGAAAAACCCTCCACAATATAGCTGATGTCCTCCCTTTTTGCTTCCCGGGGCTTACCAAAATCAGCCCCAAAGCTCCCTCCGCTCACCCCTATGTCGCTCGCACTAATTGGAAATGGTTGCAGGTATACCGGGGTCTGACGACCGGGGTGGCATAGTTGAGCAATAATGAGGGAGCCATGACGTTTTGCTTCCAATGCGATTTTACTGAATCTCTCAAATCGCAAATCCTCAAACGGTGCATCTATAGGTATGATAGGATCTCCGGCTGACACGAGATGCTGAGGATCGATCATAACATTACCAGTAATGATAACTCCAATGTCACCCTCGCCCCAGCGCCGGTATAAGTTGACGAGCTCAGGAGAAGGGATTCCACGAGAGCCAGAATCAGAAGCAGAGAAAGACGCCATGCATTCGGCTGTCGAGCTCTTCAGTAAGCGGTTTGGGGCCCACTTACCCGAGAATGAGAATAACAGACGGCGTCCCAATAGGCCTGGGCTAATGCTCTCCGGATCAGTAGAAGATGGCATTTTTTTGGTGATTTTCTTTGTTGTCAGGTTGTGTAATAATACTTATAGATGTGTTAAGCAGAAGGGCCGTCCTATTTAGGTAATCCTCAACTGGGTCTTGGTAATAATACACAGTCTCTTCTATAGCTTATGCGGTTAATGTATGGAACGAGTATGTTAGTGCGAAGCAACCTACGGTAATGTCATGTTCTACAGGCTCTAGAGTGTTCAATCCGAGAACTAATAATTAATCATCTTACATATGTTGGGTTAGTACGTTGATCACACGCCCACAGATAGCTTCGACACCTAATTTCCGCAGTAGGATTGTTCAAATCGTGGGATCAGTAAATGTAGTAATAGACTATTGGACATAGGTAGTTAAGCACCTTCTAGCACAAGGTTGTCGTCCTCTTTCTAACCTTTACAGTTCTTGGGCTAATATCCGTTTCTCATTTTGCTGAGTTTATTTTGTTTTGTGTAGCACCGGCTGGTGGGGTTCGAGCGAAGTGGGGACGAGAGCCACTTCAAAAAAAAGGTTCGAAAAATCTTAAGAACGTTCAACTTGTTCAACCAAACGCAGAACGATAACCATTTCTACCTTAATGTGCTTAGTCGGTTGTGTTCATTCTTCCAAAAAAGAGGTATAGGATTTTACTTCTAAGGCATTCGCCTTCCTGGGGAGTATACGATTCCTTTCAACAAAATGAAAACTCGTAAGACCTCATTAAAGGACTATATTTTATCGCATGATTGCAGATTTGATACCAAAAGACAGTGAACATGTTCAACAAAACAATATTCTCTTCTCTAGTACCTTCACTTGCCCCTGGTTTCTTAGGCGTTTCACCAAGCTTTCTACATATGATGTCTTAGACGACTCGATCTTAGTATAAATGCTTGAAACGCAGACTTAAGCCTCCCCAGCACTTTTCTTAGTGCCGGCCTTGACTGATACCGACCACGATTTACCTTCTAGAAATATTCCTTTACTAGATAGTACGAGTGTATCCAATTGGAAATCACCTTTCACAATGACTGGAATCACTGCAATGATCAAAGCGGCCATTAGGTGAGTACTGATTAATATGTGAACGAAAGAGCCGATAACTGAGTGAAATAGAGTGCCACATATGGAGGTTAATAAGATGAATTCTGCCCGTGTACTCCAATGCTTAAGCGGAGAGAAGAGGTCCCTCGGTCTCTATACGCTTGGCTTCTCCTATTATGCGGAGATGTACCTCGCCTTCGAAGAAGCATGGAGAGACCTTAGGGACTGGATTGTCAAATATCCCTGCAGCTCAACTAGTCCCACTTACGAAAAGAAAATCTCAGATCTCTTAAAGCTTCTTAGCATGGTCGACCTTTATCGGACCGAGCGGCTTATAGAAGATCTTAAGAGACTACACTCCTCTTACCCCGCCATGACCAATCTGACTCCCAATGAGTCGCACGACATGCACATAAAAGACGTCATCAAATGCCGTATAAACGAGAACCCGCATAAACTGCTCGCGTACGTCTGGGTGCTCTACTCGGCTTTGTTTAACGGCGGCCGATTTATTCGCCAAGAGATACTGAAAGCTGGACCCGAATTTTGGGGTCTAACCACGGATGACGAAATTCAATCCTTTCCGCCTCCTTTGTCCTTCTGGGCAGTTAATAATGACCCGGAGTTCCACGAGACTTTTAAATCTTGCGTGAACAAGGCCGGTGAGCTTTTGACATTTGATGAAAGACAGCATGTGATTCAAGAGTCGGTCTGGATCCTTCACAGGTGCAAGGAACTGACCGAGGAGCTTGATAAACGAGCAAAAATATATAGAGATTCTTGAGAACCTGATGGATGACCACAACGCGGCCATCTGGAAGACTTCAACCACATGTGCAACAATAGCCAACGAGGCGGCACGAATTTTAATCTTTATATGGATTGAGAAAGCTATGTACGATATCTAGAAGATCCTCTCAATAAAATCGAAGGGTCTTGTTCCCATTTCATTATACTATATATATGAACAAAATTAGAATACCTCACAGGAGCAAGTGCCTTGTGATGCATTTGTAGCACTCTGTACGGCAGTTCGGACGCGATATACATGCATTATATAGATAACAAAACACTACCCTCGAGGAGGACACTACCCTCGAGGAGGAATTCCATGGAATAAGAGCCTTATATCTTGCGACTGAAACAGGATCCAGAGAGATGGTTGAGACTTTTTAAGTGCGGGAGTTTCAAAATTGGTTGAGAGTAAGGGTCAACCGCCCACGGGCTATGCGGAAGAGGGAGAGGGGGGGGTAGGGCGGGTGTCATATGTTCTTCGAAGGTTGAAAAAACAAAATTGCCCCGATGAATTACATCTATCGAGAAACGTACTGTATAGTAGTAGCTACACATCCTGCTGCCTAGTAAGGGGCATGATCCTGAGGCAGAAGACAGTGATTGAAGACTCCTTCAAGAAGTCGAACTCTTCTTAAGCTCGATTCAGTAACCTGAGAAGTCAGCCTGCCCTTTTCAAAACGTTGCTTAAATGGAAATCCTGGATTCCATACAGGGAAATGGAAGTCATGAAGAAGGTATCTAGCCACTCAAGAAGGGCTGCTCTACATCCTCAGCATGATAAATCTTATTGATATTAATTTGAAATCCCAAAGTCCGTTAGGCGTAGATTTTTGGTCTGGCGAAAGTAACTTGGCCCCTAGTCACAGATCATGCGAAGATGTCCAAGATTCCCAAGCAATTCTTGACCCCTTCGAAATAGTAGGATTAAATCAGAAACACCATATTACCTCTGGCATTAGTTGATATACACCAAACCTTCCTGCCCTTCACAACCACGAATCTCAGCAGTTTATACCTGAGCCTCAATTCTAGTATCACCAACGAAATTTGGGGAAAGGAGCCTTGGCCTTATATATATGTATAAGCAAGACTTGCCCTGTCTTGATCATAAACTGATTGCAATCGACAAAAATAATTCTAAAAGCGGAAGAGTTTATCATGGATCACCAATCTCCTTGGAATACCGATATGCATTTGAATAGCATAGGAGAGACAATCAACCCTGAGATACTCGAACAAACGGAATGGGAATTCGAGTCTGACTACTCGGAGCCCGGATTCAATGATGAGAACTTCCTCGGCAACCAGGGGCCAAATAGTCCCGCTTGGGAAAATAAATACGCCAACTATGAGCTTTTAGACTCAGATGACTCATTTGAGGGAGACACTGCAAATTCGGTGAGCGCTCCCTGGGATACTATCCTGAAAAGCATATTTATGGTGTTTACTCTAGGTTGTTAGCGAAGAGACTGACGGTATAACCATCCTTGGCGAACGAAAAGTTGACATAGCCAGTGGTAGAAAGACTCAGTTTCTTGTGCAGTGTTGGGTTGACGAAAAGCATATGGAATTGTTTATTGAATTGATGAGTATGTCATGACTTTGGCCTCAGAAACATTAGTATTTCCATCACCATTCCAAGTTTGGGTTTAGTGGCGGACATCACTTTAGACTAGTTGGCCTTCTCGATTGTATGATGTTGAGCATGGTACAATTGACGTTTCAATATATCAATTGCATACTTGATAGGCCTGCCCAGGTCAATTCCAAACATGACCAGATCTCTCTTTTTTTAGCTCTAGATTAACGACGATGGCTAAGAATGAATTAACTCATGGCTCGCTAATCTTCGATATTCAAATTCATTATCAGGAGAATGTAAATGATCCCCGTCCTCCCTCTCCCAAGTCCGCAGTCAGTTTAACAGACTCGAAGGTCCTGCAGAGCCAAAACAAGAAGATTTATCAGTCAGTTCTTCTCTGGAGATACCTTCAACTGCAAATCTGCAAGAGCAGAATCGAGGGAGGAGGCTTTTTGCATCTCTCTCACAAGGTTATTCAGATCCACTTCGTTCCCGGACCGCAGAATATTGATTAAATAGATCGAGATATATCGGTAGTTTTCGGCATCTTTCTGGGCAACCCTCTGTGCCAGTTTTCGCCGTTTATCAGTTGAAGGATCGAAAGAACACTCGGACTTTGACGCAACGCATGCTCCGCAGGGAGTCGGGCCAATACACTTTCTAACGTGAGCGATACTCGAAAAACGCAAATCTGTTCAAGAAACTAATACATACTTTCACTTTCCTTCGTTGACATGATGTACAAGCTGAGCTTCGCCGCTTTGGCTTTCTCTCAATATGGCGAATAGGGGTAGGAGACCCATGAGGACCACGACATAGCGCAGGCAAAATTGCTCGGGGTGGGGCTGCGAGATTGGCCATCAGTGATGTTTGCAATATAGTGCTAGTAGTGAAGGCATGAGATTAGGGTACTTAGGATAAACAGGAAGATTTTAACTTATGAGAATAGCTAATCCAAGCTCTCTATAAGGAACTCTCTTTTTTTTTTTTTTTTTTTTTTTTTTTTTTTTTTTTTTTTTTTTTTTTGAGTTATCCATGTTTGCGTTTTGACAAATCTCAGCCACCAATTATGCATGTTTGCTTAGACAAACAAAGAATGCATACTGTACGTAGCATTATGAGTCCTTGTGTAACATTGATCTTACAAACCCTCCCCCCTTCTTTGGTTCAGCGCAAGTCCACATTGTGACCACTGATGCTTCCGAGAGTATAGACGCTGTGGTCAGATTTAGGCTGACGGAGTGAAGATTGAACCTCATAAGATAATATTCGCGGCTGCCATTTCTAATAGCAAGGTGCAGACCCATGCGGCCGTGTAGTTATGGTATGAGAAAGGCATTCTTCCTTTTTATGTATCGTGTAAGAAATAGTGACAAATACAGTCAGTTTATTTCAATCTTTCTATGTAATAGAAAGGACCTGGAAGTGGATGTTTAGTACGGTAAATACAGTACAGTATCACAAGTAATTCAAGCAATCAGTTCATGAATGTCTCAGGTTTTACTCATTATTTAGTTTACGTGGACGAGCTGTTTGCACCTGTGAGCATTTGAAACCTAGTATCACCAGTGTAGAAATAGGGTGACGACATAAGTAGGTGACGGGTATGGTTTCATAAAGGTTACAGTAACTAGTTTATACAGTATAATCCTTGCATAACACATATAGGGTTTAGCACGGCTTGGCGTTTAGGGTTTGGGAACAATATCGAGGAGCATATATCGGAAACTGATTTCGAAAAAGTCTGTATACTGAGCCCCTGGCGAGCACGCTGGGTGACTGCTATCGTCAAGCAGTTAGGACGATGGATTTCTACCTTCTCGTGGTGTCCGGTGTCAGTACCCTCTCGTTTCGTGGAGGGGAAGCGAAAAGAATCCAGGTGGTGCGGGTAGGGCCGAGCCGCAGAGTTTTCCGCGGTTGCCGAGCCCGCCCAACCCACACAAAATCAGAGGAAAACGGGTTATGAAAACCATCCGACGATTGTCTACTCGACTCGTACTCGAGACCGAAGCTGGGCTTGTATTCCCAGTGGATGTGGTATCGCCTAGACAAGAGACAGGACACCTCTGAGCTTGAACACTCTCTGGGATTGCGGATCGCCCAACAGCTTGAAAACATAATTGG